TTTTCTTTTTTGAGAAATAGATCAGAATGGTATATGTGATATTGATTAAGGATATACCTTTTTCATCATATTTTTTTTTCTCTGTTTTTTTTTTTAATTGTGTTCCTTCTTATATCTTCCCTCCCTAATATTCCCACCCATGACCCTCCCCCTTCTTTCATATCAATCTATCTCCTCTCTTTTATTAAACAGTATTATATGTAAAGTTCTAAAATTAAAAAATTTTAAAAAATGCAGCTATTATACCTAATACTGCTCTTAGCGAGGACTGACTATAATTTAATCATTTGGAAGATCTGATGACTTGAACATTCATATCCCATACCATCATACATACACATTCATTAATTGCAACAGAAGGAAGGAATGAATGTTAGACATTGCTATATTCATTATTCAATGTTGTGTTATCACAATGATATCTAATGGCCAAGCAGTAACGTACTGTAGTTGGATAGAGAGCATAAAAAGAAATAGGGGAGTGATTCCCTCTAGGCCTCTTGTGATGCGATTTACTTTATGTACTGCTCCTTAGTACACTATTTAACTTGAATTTTCTCATGTAAAACCAAATAAAATACTTTGCAAGAAACACAATGAGGTCAGTGTACTAGAGCCTGTCTTTTTCTTATGGTTTTAAGGTTGATGTCATGGTACATGTGGCGAAAGTAACCTTGCCTCTTGTACTTGGTGGTGCCTGCTTGCCAGCCTCCTGCCCACAGACTATGGGCCCTGCAGGGAAACCTGTAAAAGACTACCGAACTTGACCAACTGTTAGCACTGATTTCCCTGGAACTGTTTTGGGCATTGGACCATGTGCACGGTCGGTCAAAACTATAACTTCCAGGAAATTCCTGAACCCCTGAAACGATCTTGGTGATTTTTGGATATGTTGTTCACTCAGATCGGGGCTATCAGGAGGGATTTAATGTCTTTTATGCGGTTTCATGTGTTTTCAAGGTACTTTTTGCGGTTTCATAAAATTGTATGTTTTTCTGTGCTTGGAGATAATTGGGTTAGATTAGTACAGTTCCTGATTCAATTATCTCCCAAGCACAGAGGAGGGATTCTATTGTTTGTGTATGGGTGTGTCTCACTGTATTACTCTGTTTTTATTGGTTTATTCACTTTGTGTCCCTGTGCCCTCGTGCAGAGAGAGCCGGCCTGTATTTTGGATCTGTTCTGCCCTTTTGGGTGGAATCAGTCTAAGCTGCATGGTCTGGTTCTCTTTGTAATGGCACAAGATGAGCTAAAACCAGCTTGAGAACTGAGCGGGGATCCACCGAAGGGCAGGCTAATTGAGCTGTTGTCCATCCTCAGCACTCTCTTGCGACTTGTTTTTTGCTCTCCTTAAGCTTAAAGGGTAATGCAGACGTGGACCCCTTGCTCACGGTGCCTAGAGAGATATCAGCTATGCCTCACTGATGATGCCTGACAAGGCTGAAACGATTGTCTGGGGTTGCTCTATCTCTCGTGCAGAGAGAGCCAGCCTGTATTTTGCATCTGTTCTGCCCTTTTGGGTGGAATCAGTCTGAGAGGCATGGTCTGGTTCTCTTTGTAATGGCAGAAGATGAGCTAAAACCAGCTTAAGAACTGAGCGGGGATCCACCGAAGAGCAGGCTAATTGAGCTATTGTCCATCCTCAGAACTCTCTTGCGACTTGTTTTTTGCTCTCCTGTGCCCAACAAGGTCCACCTGGGTGTCACCCTTGTTGGGAAACTTGCATAAAAGGCCAGTGTGCCTCCATTAAAATTCTGGTCCTGCTTACCCTCAACATAGAGTCTCATCTCATTTGTGGGGGAAACGGCTGTATCTATCCTGGGGATTGCTATATCACTATACTCCCCAGGAATTATAATCACTAGCTCTTATAAGAGCTGTTCCTGCTACACTCTCTGGGAGTAGGAGAGGTCTACCCACTGAGTAGCAAGTAGGGAGTAGGAACCCAGTCTTGGGTCCAGGGTGGGTGAAGGTCGGCGAGACCCCGGCGCAGCTGCATCGCTGGAATTGGGGTCTGCAGTGCTTATGGTGTCTGGTGGAGTGCTGGAATTCCTCAGTAAGCACTAGGAACATTGATTGGCGGAGGCACTCGGTCGGAGTGCCAGGTGGTCCGTCACAGTAAAGAACAGAAAAATTAAGAGATTAATGTACTTGAGAATTGATCCATGGGCAGGTGGAACACATGTGCTGTCTTGTGAATAGAATGTTTAGTCATGGTATTCTTTCCCTTTTTTCCCCAGTTAACCAAGATCTGCAGTGAGAATGCAACTGATTTGATGTTCCTTTTCTTGTGGCCTTGCAGTCCCTTTTTTTTTTCTCCTGATGGAACTTTCACAAGGCCTGTTTGTATATCCAGTTTATGTTCATGTCTCCCTCAACTGGATAGCGTGGAAATTAGGAAGTCTTGTGAACACAAAAAAAGTGATTCTAACAATCAGTGACCAACACTCCTCTTCAGACCGGAAAAAGATCAACGTCCTTGGCTTACTACAGAATCTGAGGTGTCTTTTTTGAATGCACTACAGATGTTGCAGGTCTCTTTCCTCTATTAAAGCTATATTCAATTTTCTGTAAGATGGTATTGATATGGGGCTTAGTATTAACTCATTGAAGTTTAAAATCTCAGATTTATCAGCTCCAATGAGCTAAAGATAGGCTCCTTAGGAGAAGACTCTTCCTGGCTTTCTCTGTTTTTCAAATCACCAAACAGGATCTTAGAGATGATCCATACATATGTTTGTTCCCCTTAAGAACATTACAATGGTTATACAAACTGTCAACTCTTCGCATGTGGATTGTGGCAGCTATCTCTAAGTGTATCAAGTAAAGCAGGTTTCAGATGTATTTGGCCATATATGTGTGTGTTTGTTATAGGTGTTTGCAAAAGCTCTTCTTTCTATAAATAAATAAACACATAAATATCATATAGATTTAACAAAATTAGGGTCATTGCCGAATAATAATATTTTAATACAATCTCCCTCAGTACATAAACCCCCCTGGCAATGACCCCATACCAATGAACAATATATAACAATGTAAATAACAAATACTATGAAACACAGCCTACCAAAGAGGCCCATATCCAAATGCTTAAACTGTAGGAGTGTAAGCATTTTGGATATGGGCTATTTAGTCTCCACCCCCACAACCAAATTACTAAACTCCCGCCCATAATTATTACAAACCCACATGCCTACACCCTGGCTCTGTCAAGGCCCACTCCCCTATCTGCACTGTTCCATAGGCTACAGGGTTACGCTATAGTAAGATGCAAAACCTTATATTTTTCCCCAAATTTAATGAGGTATTAATGCAAATAAAAACACAACATGAATATGAGGTAAAAGGCTATTTAATGCACTTAGTTCATGTTAGTGCACTAGAGTATGACCAGAGTGTGCCTATGTTTAGCTATGTAGCGTCAGTATTATAAAAAACACTGTTGTGGACATGTACATGTGTAAAACCATGTGCATAAATATTCATGTATAGATTTTCATGCAAATTCCAGAGCAGAGAACAATACAGAGTTCAAGTTAACTTAACTACAATCTAAACGTCTCAAAAAGGACTTCGAGAAAGCTGACTCATCTAGTACAAATGTTAACATTTTAGTACAATATATCATATAAAGCACTTGCACTTGAGGACTTAAAAATAGGATGAATGTGTTAAATCATAAATTAAACAAATAGAAAATAATAAATAGGATAGCACTTCTGGGTCCTCTTAAGGTCTAAATTAAAACGTAATCTTTGTCAAAGTTTTTTAAAACTGACATGTTGACAATAAAGGCTCCCTGCATTATCCTGTTGGCTTGATTAATTTATGTCAGATTGATATACTGCCAATGGGTGGGCCTGTCCCTTTTCAGGCACCCTTGCTGTGCTCTCCCACTATCTCAATTGCATACCTTCCAGTCAGGGCCAGATTAAGAGCCCAGTGGGCCTGGTGCTGACAATTATGAGGAGCCTAAGTACAGAATCTTATCGACCAAAAACACTAAAACAGTTATACCTCTCAAGCGCTATGTATCTAGTGGAGATGTTGCCGAAAGGAATCTCATAGGATATAAGAAAACTCAGCTTCTCTTAAAATATGCTAATCTATCTCTAATTCATGTTTTCATCTTTTCATCCATACCACCTAACAGTAGTGTCAGTGAAGCAGGAAGTCAATAGGCGGTGTAAAAGGGTGGGCCACTGAGGCGGATCATGTAACCAGAACTCCCGAAAGGGACGAACATACCCAAAAATGAGGTGTGTCTGCCCAAAGAATTGGAAGACTAGCCTGGTATGAATGCATGTCAGGCTGCCTGTCAATCATGCATGCTGGCCAACAGCATCCTGAGGTTGGCATAAATGTGTCTAATGATGCACTCGTTCCATGCTTTCTAAGGACTTCCCCCTAGCACTCACATGTTCACTTGTCTCCTTACCTTCTTACTAGCAGGCAGAAGCTCCTGGTATACAGTCTGTGACAGAAAAAAGTGGATGTAGTGAGTGTAGAAGAAAGGGACCATGCCACAGTGTTAGAGAGACCAAAGTCAGCATTACGTTAACTAATTTTCATTTCAGCTAGCCCACACAAGTTTTGTTTCCAAATATCCCTCTTAAGTTTCCATACTTAAGCAAGAGAATGTGAAGAGTAGTTAGGGTTGCCACCTTTCTTGGAAAAAATACAGGCCTTACTAATTTGCATAACTAATTATGTATGCGTGACATCACATGATGTAAATCACAAGGAGTTAGAGAAAAGTCTGTGAAATCACCAAAAAAAACTACTTACCGTTTGATTCTGCTGTATAGATGGATTGCTTCCAGTGTCTTTCTGTGTCCCCATGTCGCCCAGTGTCCCCTAGTGTCTATGTCTCCCAGTGTCCCCATGTCACTAGGGGACACAGACACTTGGGGACCCTGGGAGACATGGGGACACAGACACTGGGAGACATGCGGACACTGGGAGACATGGACACACAGACACTAGGAACACTGGGAGACATGGACACACAGACCTAGGGACACTGGGAGACATGGGGACACTGAGACACCAGGGACACTGGCTGGGAGACATGGGGACACTGAGACACTTGGGAACATTGTGTCCCTAGTGTCTCAGTGTCCCCATGTCTCCCAGTATCCCCAAGTGTCTCAGTGTCCCCATGTATGTTTGTTCCCCCATGTCTGTGTCCCCAAGTGTCTGTATCCCCATGTCTCCCAGCGTCTCCTAGTGTCTCAGTGCTCCCAGGTCTCAGTGTCTCCTAGTGTCTGTGTCCCCATGTCTCACAGTGTCCCCTAGTGTCTGTGTCCCCATGTCTTAGTGTCCCCATTTGTGTCTGTGTCCCTATGTCTCAGTGTCCCCATGTGTGTCTGTATCCCTATGTCTCCATGTGTCTCTGCATCCCCAGATGTTTCCCTGTTTCTCCATGTCTCACAGTGTCCCCTAGTGTCTCAGCATCCCCATGTCTCACAGTGTCCCCTAGTGTCTGTGTCCCGATGTCTCCCTGCAGTCTTTCCCCACATCCCTCACTTCCCTGAGCTGTAGGCTGTCTCTGCAGGCCGGGAGCTGCTGTCTGGACTCTCTGTGCTGTGTAACTGCTTCCCCGCAGATCAGTGAGTAGAGATGCAGGTACATGCTGTAACTTCCTATCCCTGCCTCTCTCCACTCCACCGGTGCTGGTATTGCAGAGTAATCTCTGTTTATACTAAGAAAAATACCGGCATTTGTATTGCCGGTAATACTGAAATACCGGCCAGGCAGCCTCAACCCTATATATATTTTTTTGGATAAAATCAATGGGCCTATTCCATGGGCCTGGGCCTGGAGCTGCAGCTCCATCAGCCCCTATGTTAATCCGGCCCTGCTTCCAATAGCTTCATTTTCAAAGTTTAAAAAGGGAAAAGTGGAATTTTCTTTCAAACATGGTTCTATTATTTTATTGATTCATTCTGTTTCACTACTTTTCCATAAAAAATACTTATATATTTAATATTTATGTTAAAAATAAATTCCATTGAAAAATATTTATGTAAAAAAAAGTTAAGGGGAGTTTAGGGGCATATTTTTATGGTTTCATAATGCACTTTCTAATGAAAGTTAATTCGCCGTGTGAAATAACTTGGCCTAACCTGCCTATTAGGTGTTTCTGTCATAGAGGCCACAGTATTTCCACATAGAAACATGCAGATTAAGATAAACACGTGTTTTTCACTATGTGGATTGTCGAGTATTGAGGGTTAATTTTAATGTGAATAACCTTGTAAGATTTAAGTGTTAAGTAACATTGTTTGCATATAAACCTAAACGTGCATTACCTTTTGCAGTTAAACATGTATTTCAGAAGGGCAACCCACTTCTAATGCCTTTTCCAGGTCAGGGTCATAATTATATGATAACAGGTCAGGTTTAAAAATGCATGTTTTTGTTTGTGTGCTGTCAAATTGAGCAGTATCATGGTAAAAGAGTGCCAATTCATAATCATTAATAGTAAGACATGGCATCTTGACATTGTAAAAAAACAAAAACTCTATCTTTAAAAAAATATATCTATACTTTTTTAAAGTGTTCCTTTGACATATTATATTCAGCTCCTCCCACCCCATGTCTTAAAAAACAAAAAAATTAAAAATGTACCTGTAATCCATCGCTGATTCCCCCTCTCCCCCAATTTTTTTTTTTTTTTTGCCCTGGTACTAGTTTAGTTTACCATTTTTTAAGATCCCTTCATTTTTAGTGTTGCCATCTTGAAATTTCTAAGATGGAGGCTTTCAGACATCCGATCTATTACCCTTCCTGGAGATGCACACTAGCGGCTTATACTGACCACGGTGTCGACTCTCTCGATTGAAAAAACATTGTCAGAACTGATTTCAATTATAGCTCCTCTGCTGATGCCCTAGTACTCCCTCATCTAATAGATGTGTGTTTTTGTTTTTTATCCGTCCAGCAGATGGTGCCATAAATTCAGATACCAGTTAATATAAAATGAGTGTTTTACATTTTAATAGCAGTATATTGACCTCATTAAGTTAGTCATATCCCTTATATATTGCTAAGATAGTATTGATCCTTAATGGGCTAACTTACAAAGACTGTGACTAATTTACAAGTGCAAATGGAAAGGTCAATAAAACACATTACATTTGATATGATAACCACTAAAATAAGATATATTGGATGCATTATTTACACTGTGTGAAAGAATATGTGTATTTACGCATATGTATCACTTGGATATAGCATGTAGTATGTGAATAAACAAAGTGTTTTTTTTTGTTATTGCAATTCGTAAATGAATGTTTTTGTGACACATATTAAAGTTCTGTGTAGTTTGCTCTGGTAATGTCGAAATGTATATGAATGATGTTGGCAATGTGTTAATGGTGTGGGGAATGTGCTGGAGTAGTTTGTGAATGTTACTTGTGAATGCTGAAAGCAGGGAGTGAATGCAGTGCGCAGGGCACAAATGCTGTGTGTGGTTTGGTGTGCATTGAGAATGTGGGTGTGAATATATTGTGACAATGCAAAGTGCAGGAAGATAATGCAGATTGCATGATGTCAAGTCTGAAAATTATGACTTGGGGTGATTCATGTGTTTAAATGTAAAGTGCAAGGCGTGAATGTAGACTGCAGAGTGTGAATGCATACCATGAACACAGAGTGTGAATTTGTCCACACTGCAGAAGGTACATAAGAAAACTAGCAACTATAACTTAATTTAAAAATTGTTCAGTCAAAGCTAAAACTATGGGAGAAAATGCAAATTAGCAGAGCCACAACGTCAATCCTGGCACAGAGGTACCTGAATTTCCTGCCTATTGTTAGTTCCAGCCCTGATTAAACCACCCATGCTGCCTTCAATTCTATGTAGAATATATTGATGATGCTTGGAATTAAATGTAGTGGAGAAAAGGGGAATTGTTATCTGTCTTGAATTCCTTCAATCAGACAGCTGCTAGAGGCACTTCTTGATTGCTAATGGATTTTTGGTTGCCTAACTGCATAGCATGAGGACATCCAGGGACAGTTAAATCCCCATTGGAGCAATGCTTTCCTATGGTGAGGGCCTAGTGCACTCGCAACGCTCGCTAAACATGCGCATTAACCCACCCTCTGTCAGATGACATCGGAGCAGGTGGCAAACCCAGCACCAAGGGAGATTGGCGCTGGGATTGGGTGAGTAAATAAAGGTTTTTAACCCCTTAAGGACACATGACATGTGTGACATGTCATGATTCCATTTTATTCCAGAAGTTTGGTCCTTAAGTGGTTAAACCCTTTCCATGCCAGGGGATGAGGGGGAGATGAAGGTGGGAGGGGGTCTGGAAGGGGCAGGGGGGAGCGGGGAGCAAACTATAGTGTAAGGAATACAACTTCATATTCCTAACACTATAGAATACCTTTAAGTACTTATTGGGGTAAATAGCCAATGCCAATGTAAGTATAAAACATACTTACCTCCTCAGCAATTCCATGTTCAAGTTGATGCTATCATTCTATACTCAAGCCTAGAATAATATGCAATGTGAGTATATGCATGAACAGATATTCCTTCTATATGTGTGCGGTGCTGTACCCTTACATTAATTTGCATTGTATGCCTTAATGTGCCAAGACAGCCAGGCATACAATGTACATTATAACTTAAAAAAAATCTGAGATTTTTTTTAAATAGCAAAATCAATAGGTAATGTAATAGGTTCTGGAAACAACTTAAATCACAAGGGAAAATGTGGTTATATATTTTCAGTGTCAAAGATTATTCCCACTGTTGTGGAATGCAACACACACACACACAAACACACACGCGCGCACACACACACACATTCAAACACGTATACGTACACAAACATATGTACATGCAAAACTGATTGTTCATACACTTGTCCAGAAATGCCTGAGATTAATGGGAGTCACCAATTGCAGCAATTGCTCTTTGTTATTTAGATAGAGACAATGGAGAAAAAGACAGAGGCCTCAACTGGCATGTGATTACAATACAAAGTAAAATCTTTTTCAAACATAATTATAAATTATCAAATTAATGACAGCCCTAAGTAAAAAATATTGTATCGTAAAACTCCTTTAGGCCTGGTGTAAGGCAAATCTCTTGTTAACGTGACCATTCTGACATGTCTTTGGTCCTGATGTGTACTTTACTAAACAGTAATGAAATAAGACAAAATAAAAAATAATGGCAGTTTTTTTAACCAAGAAATATTTTATAGGTTACTTCACCTTTAAGAAATAAAAAAAGAAAATGAATATGTTTATCGCTGATAAGTATTGCTTTGGCATTTCCAATGTTTACTTCCACATAGCGGTGAGTATGTGTCTGTGGGGGCGTGCTATTCAGAAGGCTATAAAGGCAGAGACTAGGGAATTTCATTCATTCAGACAGCTTGAAGCTGTGCATTGAACAAGCCTTGCACTTTAACACTGTTTTATCAGCACACAATGCAGAGCTCAGCCTGGAAGGTTAGTTGTGCTGCATTCTGTCTCTCTATGTCATTCATCACTGGGGTCCACCTCAGGCCACTAAGCGAACAGGAGGAAATGGTGCAGCTAGAAGCTATTAAAAAAGGAATTTTGGATCGCTTAGGTTTGCACAGACCACCAGTTATTCGGGAGAAAATGGACCAGGATAAAATCCAAAAAATGCACTGGCTATATCAGGAGAAGTTAAGAGAGCTCAGGGGGAACATGAGCAAAGAAGAGATACCTCAAAGGACAGTTCATCTGCTGACACCAAAATGTAAGTGTATACACTTCAGGCCAGCGGAACATTTTGTTAGATTGTCAGCCTTTAAGAGCAATTGTATCTCTGTCATTTTACCTTATATAATAGAATTTTGGCAATAATGTAATCAATCTTAGAATGTAATCACTAGACCATCTTCTTCTATACTCTAGAATATGCTCACAAATCTATAAGTATACATTTGTAAACAAGCCTTTAAACACACATCAGCCATACGCTATGTATTTTTATTATAATTGTTGTATGCATATTTTATAGTAATGTTTATATATTATGGCTTCATTTCAAACTGGATAAATGTTTTGTATTTTTCATTTAAACTCCATGTTTTATTGTTTAAAACTAAGAACAATGTAGTGTTTTTTCTCCTAATGACCTCAATCTCTTCAATATTTCATTGTGTCACATGTTGATTGCAACCTCTTCAGGTTAGGTGGGTCTTATGCCAGCTATACAAGAGATGACGTTAGAGCATTACAGGTGTTATTGTATCTCATGTAAGAATAATGGTTAAACCTTTTGAGATCAGGGTTAAGAAATGCTTTGTGATGATGAGTCCTGTTATATCTGGTTATGAGGGTGTTAAAAAGGCCAAACATTTTTAATAAATAAGAGATTTTTCTTTTTCTTGTGTGCTATTTGTGACACATGCAGCCACAACTGAACAGCAGTAAATTTAGAAATATTCTCTGAAGGTCACACTTTTATTTACACAGGTGGGAAAAAAGCTCTGTGATCTCAAGGCCAAATATTTCAACCATACCTACCCTCTCTTCATACATGACGCAGGGTTGAAAATAACATCACTGAGATTTAGACATGATTCTACAAGACCTTAGTTTATGTAATGGTCAATATTGTGCATACATTATGGTCTTGTTAAAAGTAATTTCAAAAGAGATGAGAAAAATAAATCAGGCTAACCAGTGAAACAGTGGTATTTTTACATCTTACAAATGCTAAAAATCTCAATAACTTTTTTAATGTCTCTGGTTTGGACATGATGTTAAAAACATGCAAGGTATAGCACACTCACTGATCTACGAAACAGATACTTCAAAAGTTCACAAATTTTAATAGTTTTTCTTTTTTTTTTTCATAATCTAGGCAAAAACAATGGGAGTTTGGCTACAGTATATGATCATACATTGCATAAGCCTCTACCCCAATTTTGGTAGGTCCTATCCTAGCAACCTAGTGCCTGCTCTTATGAGATCAACCCATTTACTTTGAAAACTTCCTCCTTGGGTTGTTTGCAGTGGAAGGGTAACTAAGGTCCTTGACAGGCGCATAGTTGACCCATTGGGCTTTAAGAATAAAAACCCCCATACATACCCAATAATACACGGACACCAGTCGTTTGGGTAAAATTATTTCCAAATATTTTCAGTATAATAAAATATAAATTTTAATATGAAATGCCATTATCAAACAAACCCAGTGACATAGTATATAAATAACCCACATACCCTTATAAAACATCACAATGACAATGACCCCAAAATTAACAACATAACACCATAACAATAAAATAACATAAACAACACAATAAAACATAGTAAAGTGCAAACAACTTGCCAAAAAATAAATAAAAATGTAGGGACATAACAAGATACCCCTACACCCTCAGGTTCTGAGACACAGGAAAGGTTGAATCCTACCATACCAACTTTTAAAACATGTAATTAATTAAATCCCCAATAATAATCGATTCATCCCCCCACCCCAATTTATCTATCCAGCCCCCCGAAGCTGTGACCATATGGAGATTAACTCCAAGCCTAACACAAAATCAGGGAAGATGGAAGGGGCGACACCAAAGTCTGTGAGAAAGCATTAAAATGCAAAAAAATTAAGATGCATTTTATAGTGATTATAGCTGTCCCCTACAAACATGAGATCCCAGATAACTAGCCAATCCAAGCACATTAACGATGAATGCCCCTCCTAGCTCTGTCAAGGCACTATTCCACTAAGCTGTTCTGCTCCGGGGCTATAGAAATGGGGGGAAAGTTGGACTGCACTCCCAAATAAATATATATATATATATATATATATATATATATATATATATATATATATATAAAACACTAGCAGAAAAAATGGTTTGGGGTAAAAAATACACTCTCTCCAGTGCAAATAGGAAAGCAGTCAAATACCTACAGGTGCCTTCATGATATAGCAACTGGTCACTTATCCTGGTGCTACAAAGGTATATGGTTTTGTATTGTCAACCTCTCTTTAACTTGAGTGGTAAATAGCATCTGTGCCTCCATTAGATAAGTTTGGGACATGGCATCTGCTCTTCTACTTGGTTCTCTCTGAGTGCTCCAGAGTAGATCCTTGATTATTTGTCAGACACCAGTTAGCAACTCCAGTTAGTGCAAATATAGAAGAAGGTAGGTGTTAAAAGACCACTATAAGCACCCAGACCACTTCAGCTCAATGAAATGGTCTGGGTGCCTGGTCCCTCTAGTTTTAACCCTGCAGCTATAAACATAGCAGTTCCAGAGAAATTGCTATGTTTACACTGCACTGCTATGTTTACACTGCAGGGTTAATCCAGCCTGTAGTTGCTGTCTCCCTGACAACCATTAGAGGCGCTTCTACAATTTACACTGAGTTAAAGGATCATTATAGGGTCAGGACCACAAACATATATTCCTGACCCTATAGTGTTAACACCACCATCTAGCCCCCCCCCTTGGCCCCTCTTGCCTCCATAAATATAGCAAAATCTTACTGTATTCAAGCCTGAAGCTGTAACTCTGCATGCTGTTTGTCTCAAATAAAAAACAAGCAGTCTGCTAACATCATCAGAAGTTGTATCCTGATCCAATCACAGTGTTTCCCCATAGGATTGGCTGAGACTGACAAGGAGGCAGATAAGGGGTAGAGCCAGCATGATTCATAGAACCATTCGGCCCATCTAGTCTGCCCAATTTTCTAAATACTTTCATTAGTCCCTAGCTTTATCTTATAGTTAGGATAGCCTTATGCCTATCCCACGCATGCTTAAACTCCTTTACTGTGTTAACCTCTACCACTTCAGCTGGAAGGCTATTCCATGCATCCACTACCCTCTCAGTAAAGTAATACTTCCTGATATTATTTTTAAACCTTTGTCCCTCTAATTTAAGACTATGTCCTCTTGTTGTGGTAGTTTTTCTTCTTTTAAATATAGTCTCCTCCTTTACTGTGTTGATTCCCTTTATATATTTAAATGTTTCTATCATATCCCCCCTGTCTCGTCTTTCCTCCAAGCTATACATGTTAAGATCCTTTAACCTTTCCTGGTAAGTTTTATCCCGCAATCCATGAACCAGTTTAGTAGCCCTTCTCTGAACCCTCTCTAAGGTATCAATATCCTTCTGAAGATACGGTCTCCAGTACTGTGTACAATACTCCAAGTGAGGTCTCACCAGTGTTCTGTACAATGGCATGAGCACTTCCCTCTTTCTACTGCTAATACCTCTCCCTATACAACCAAGCATTCTGCTAGCATTTCCTGCTGCTCTATTACATTGTCTGCCTACCTTTAAGTCATCAGAAATAATCACCCCTAAATCCCTTTCCTCATTGTTGAGGTTAGGACTCTATCAAATATTCTGTACTCTGCCCTTGGGTTTTTACGTCCAAGATGCATTATCTTGCACTTATCCACATTAAATGTCAGTTGCCACAATTCTGACCATTTTTCTAGTTTACCTAAATCATTTGCCATTTGGCTTATCCCTCCTGGAACATCAACCCTGTTACATATCTTAGTATCATCAGCAAAAAGACATGCCTTACCATCAAGACCTTCTGCAATATCACTTATAAAAATATTAAAGAGAATAGGTCCAAGTACAGATCCCTGAGGTACCCTACTGGTGACAAGTCCAAGCTTCGAATATATTCCATTAACTACAACCCTCTGTTGCCTGTCACTCAGCCACTGCCTTACCCATTCAACAATATTGGAATCCAAACTTAAAGATTGCAGTTTATTGATAAGCCTTCTATGTGCAACAGTGTCAAAACACAGCCCTGGCCAATCAGCCTCTCCTCAGAGAAATGAATTGAATCAATGAATCTCTATGAGGAAAGTTCAGTGACTGCATGCAAAGGGAGGAGACATTGAATGTGTGGATGCATTTTAGGCAGCCATGACCCAGGAAGGATCTGCAACAGCCATCTGAGGAGTGGCCAGTGAAGTTATAACTAGGCTGTAATGTAAACACTGCATTTTCTCTGAAAAGACAGTGTTTACAGCAAAAAGCCTGAAGGTAATGATTCTACAAATTCAATAAGCTGTAGTTGTTCTGGTGACTATAGTGTCCCTTTAATCACACTTATTTGACGCTGGAAGTACTCACGGACCTCCAATGTCAAAAAAGATCCCCATAGGAAAGCATTGAGTAATGCTTTCCTATGGGCGGTTTTGAATGCACACGGAGCTCTGGCCGTACATGCGCATTCAATGGAGGAGGAGAGGTCACCAGTGCAGAGGGAGCCCGGCACTGGATTAAGGTAAGCAAATAAATGGTTAATTAACCGTTTAGGTGAATAGGGCTCTATAGCGTTAGGAATACATATTTATATTCCTAATGCTATAGTGTTCCTTTAATATCACATTACTTTTTACTCATAGAACCAAAAACAAAACAACAACATTAAAGGCAGCAGGGATATTTTTGAAATCACCAGAAGTATACTATCAGTGTTATTTACTAGAGTGAGAATTGTCTGGAAATTAAAGTGAATTGGAAATTTAAGGCCAAAGTAGCAGAACTGGAAAGATAGCGAAGTTGGAGTACTTTTCCACTTATGCTATATTGGTCTTAAATTTGAACTTTACTTTGAATTATTCACTTTAGAGAAAAATGTATCATAAATGTATATATGAATTGATCAGCCACAACATTTCAACCATCTGCCTAATGTCATGCTGGTTTCCCTTGTGCTGCTAAAACAGCTGTGATTTGTTGGGGTATGAATTCCACAAGACCTCTGAATATGTCCTGTGTTATCTGGCATCAAGAAAATAGCAGCAGATCCTTTAAGTCCTGCAGGTTGCGAGGTGGGGCCTCCATAGATTAGATTTGTTATTCCAGCACATCCCACAGATGCTCAATCAGATGGAGATCTGGGGAACTTGGAGACCAAGGCAACACCTTGACTATTTGTCATATTCCTCAGATGATTCCTGGACAATTTTTGCAGTGTGGTAGGGTGCTCTGCTGAAAGAGATTACTGCCATCAGGGAACACCAATAAGCCCATGAAGGGCTTATTTGGTCTGCAACAATCTCTAGGTAGCTGGTACATGTCAAATTAACATCCAGATGAATGCCAGGACCCACGGTTTCCCAGTAGAACATTGCCAAGAGCATAGCACTGCCTCCGACGGCCTGCCTTCTTCCCACAGTGCATCCTGGTGCCATTTCTTCCACAGGTAAACAACACACGCATCCGGCTATCCAAAAGAAAACATGATTTATCAGAACTGGCATCCTTCTTCCATTAATCCTTGACCCAGTTCTGATGCTCACATCCCCACTGGAAGTGCTTTAGGTGGTGGATAGGAGTCATCATGGGCACTCTGACCTGTCTGCGGTTACGCAGCCCCATATGCAGCAAACTGTGATGCATTGTGTGTTCTGACACTTTTCTATCATGGCCAGCCTTAAGTTTATTAGCAATTTGAGCTACAGTAACTCTTCTGTGTGATCAGATCAGACCTGTGTGATCGGATCAGACAGGCTAGCCTTCGCTCCCCACATGCATCAGTTACCATTGAGCACCAATGACCCTGACACCGGTTTAATGGTTGTCTTTACTTAGTTACATAATATATTTACATAGCTTAAAACAGACTTGCATTCATCAAGTTCAGCCTTCCTCAGATATCTTCTTGGATCAAGCAGCTATTACCCCACTAATTAGAAATTATATCCCTCTATGTTATGTTTTTGCAAGTAGTTATCCAATTGCAGTTTAAACATCTGTGTGGACTCTGATAAAACCACCTCTTCAGTCAGAGAATTCCATACCCTTATTGCTTTTACTGTAAAAAATAATTTTCTTTGCCTTAGATGAAATCTAATTTCTTCCAGCTTAAATGCGTGACCTTGTGTCCTAAGTATAGCCCTGTTTATGAATAGATTTCCATATAATGGTTTGTACTGGCCCCAAATATATTTGTTTACTGTTATCATATCCCCTCTGAGGAGCCGTTTTTCCAAACTACGGAGATTTCCTTTTTTTTACCCTTTCTTCGTAACTAAAATGCTCTATTAATTTTATCAATTTTGTAGCTCACCTCTGCACTTTTTCTAGTGCCACGATATCCTTCTTTAGAACAGGTGCCCAAAATTGCACAGCATATTCAAGGTGTGGTCTTACCAGCGATTTATAAAGAGGCAAAATTATATTTTCATCCCGAGAATTTATACATGACAAAATCTTACTGGCCTTAGCAACTGCAGATTGACATTGCATATTTCTGCCTAATTTGTTGTCTATAACAATTCCCAAATCCTTCTCGTGTGTGGTTATCCCTAGTTCACTACCATTTAGGGTGTAAAATGCTTGTGCATTCTTAACCCCAAAGTGCATAACTTTGCATTTCTCTACGTTAACATTTGCCATTCTAGTGCCCAGTCCCCCAATCTATCCAAATCCCTCTGCAGCAAAACAATATCCTGCTCACATTTAATTAGTTTACAAAATTTTGTGTCATCTGCAATCACCGAAACATGGCTTTCAATGCCTATTTCAAGATCATTTATAAATATTTACTTGCATAACTTCTAATAGGTACTAATCACTGCATACCGGGAACACCCAACAAGGTTTGCTATTTTAGGGATACTCTGAACCAGTTGTCTAACCATCATTATTTACCCTTTTCAAAATCACTCAGACATTTTCGTTTACCCATTGTTCTACTTCCAACACATGAAATTCAAGAACTGACTGTTCAGCCGTTGCCTAATAAATCCCACCCTTTGACATTTGCCATTGTAACGATATAATCAATGTTATTCACTTCACCTGTCAGTGGTTTTAATATTATAGCTGATCAATGTAATATTACAGAGGTTACCATTACTGATAATAAATTCTATATAATTTAATATTGAACCAGGGTTAGAAATGAAGCAATACATAACACAACACTCTATTAATTGGAAGTAAATATTAAAATGTGCAAAGCAAATCATGTCTAGTCAAGTTTAAAACAATGATCATGCAGGATATTTAACGTGTGATGGAAATCGGACTAGACACAAACATTATTTGTTTCATGCATTTTAATATGTACTTATTATTTATTTATAAAATGTCTATATATCATCCAATGGCTTTGAGAGGCTATCTGATTCTGGATTGAAGGCATATTTTATTGTGATAAGCTTTTCCTGTAACAGAGTATAACCAGCATGCCTTCTCTAAAACAACTTTGTTTTGTTTTCACACTTCGGTGTACTTATACATTTACCATCTACCAATCATGTACTAGTTTATACAAAATTCTCCTTTTTAAAAAGAAAAATATATGTAATTTACATGTTGATATATTGTTAACATCATAAACATAAGCATGTGACATTAACAGTTTTAATTTCCACTTTATGGGAAACAAATATATATAAATATAAGATGTAGTGTAATATGCTTGTGTGTGTTTCCCTTTAAATATAACATATGCAAACACACTTGATCCAGTCACTTGCAGAATACAATGTATTATATATGTCCTGGAACTCTATGACAGTAAAGGCCCAAATCATATAAAGCATTAACTTTCATAATAGAGCAGGTCTTAATAAACTATTCTAGTCCATTTAAACATATTAAAGTTCACCTGCTTATAGTAGTATATCACTTGTTAGATTTATGTATTTTCAACACATCGTTTGAATAGCGATTTTTTTTTTTTTTTGGAACATTAGAAGAGGTGTTTTTATAATCAGTCGTTGCTTAGGTTTATCAATTAGAAAAACCATCTTAACCCCTTAAGGACACATGACATGTGTGACATGTCATGATTCACTTTTATTCCAGAAGTTTGGTCCTTAAGGGGTTAAAAGCAGTGAATATTTTTTTTTAAATCATTTAGGACCTATCAGGATTGTCACAAGTGCAAGGAATGTGGATAAATCTAGTTCTCCAGAGGGATTAAAATGTGAATAAATTACAACATACAGATAGATTTTTGCTCTGCTAATCAATATACATTTTCCTTGTTGGAACATTTACTTTAAATAATAGTAAGTGCATCCGTTTCTTTTAGGAATGCATAAAGGTTTTTAAACGTGACTTAATGTATGCATACATTTTAGTAAAGATACAGAAAAAAAAGATTGTTTTGAAGAAAAATTAAACCTGATATCTTGTTTTATGTAACATATATGCAAAATATAATGAGATGCAGCCTATAAAGGAACAAACAAAATATAGTATAGACTTATTTAGGTAATGTGCCCCAAATAGATTGCTTATATTGCAATCACAAATCACTTAGTGGAACAGGCATGTAAATAACTCTCAGACCTACTCAAATAGATGTTCAGTAGATAGTTATCATGGACTTTAATATTGCACTAAATATAAAATATAAAAATAGATGGTGCAGAATGATCTTTATGTCATGTAAAAAGGATATTTTATTGCACTCAATTTATATAAAAGAATTCACAGCATATTAAATATAACTTCACCCAATCTGGAGGAACCTGCGATATGTCCACGCCCTATGCGTTTCATCCTTCAGACTTTCACACGGGCTTCCTATTCCCACATAACGCCCAGATCTTCTCAAATAGATGTTCAGTAGATAGTTATCATGGACTTCAGTATTGTACTAAAATAAAATATAAAAATAGATGGTGCAGAATGTTCTTTCTGTCATGTTAAAAAGGATATTTTATTGCACTCAATTTATATAAAAGAATTTACAGCATATCAAACACAACTTCACTCAATCTGGTGGAAACTGCGATATGGCCATGCCCTACATGTTTCGTGCTTCAGGCTTCCTCAGGGCGTTCCCATAAGACAAATTGCAAATAGGTATACAAATAAAAAATCATAAAAAAATGCCCTGATGCAATGGCAAGTATCCATCTATATGTAACATATAGTTGTACGGATTTGCAAAAATCTCTGAAAATATAAACCCAACGCCACTCCATGATGTCACAAGGGAAATTGTATTTTTTCCTTCCCTTACATATACTAGTATGGCATGTGCGCACCATACAATTCTCAAGTTACCTGTACCTGTACCTTAACAGAAGCGATATCACTATTAACCTGATTAAGAAAATCGTGTCAACTTTAGCCTTGAGGGTCCTTTTAAATCTGTCACTCATTCTTTAGACAATGCCTTATGTTGATAAAGGTCTGCTTGTGTATACCCATTTCAAAGGACAAGTATATAGTTTAAATGCACATCATTAACAATAAAAATAATACCAGATACTGTCTGACTTGGCTATTTTTTAATGCCATGGTATACTCACAGCCATAATAATGAATTTGAGTGTATATGCCACACATAAAAGATGTAGATATGCAAGACATATTCAGGTTGTAAACAAAATGGACCAACAAGCCAATTTGGAAAAATTCTTCAACTCCGCTATAGTCTGAGTTTGGTGAGTTTATATCGAATTCAACACTTCTATTAAATTAATTAGTTTTCACTGTTTAGTAAATACACCTCTACATGTACACATTTGTGAAATCACCACCACATATATGTTAAATTAACTTTATCTTGGTTTATACCATAGAATCCTATGCAAACAATTTTTTTTTTTTTTTTTGCCTGTACATTATGTTAGCCAAACTGTGATTCAAATATCACCACAGCATAACCTAGACTTTCCAGTTCTGAAAGGAGCTCCCTGACACATATGAATTCCCCATAACATTATGAACCATTGGCATGCTTTACAGCTTGTTCCAATATAATTTGTGCATAGGACAGATTACAAATGGATCGACAGACACAAATGCACAGATTATGTGAGGCAAATAATTGCAACCAGAAAGAAGCATGTTGTAGCAAATATGTCAAAATGCACATTGTCACTTCTGTAGCATAGTTTAGAAAACGAGGTGATGCAATATTACTGTTTGCTATCAAATACCTTTACATTTTAAAATAATGTTGAAACTTCACCTTTAAAATTTCCATATGCTACATACACGTTTCTCATATTGATAAACAGTGAAGTCTATCCAGTTAAGATAACATTGTGCATATCACGATACCTATTTTACATTTTGCATAGCATGCTATACTAGGATTTAGTATCAGAGTTAGAGTGATGTGGCCATAAGAACACATTGATGACAAATGTGGTGCTCCAGCTCTTTGTCCTAATATTACAATGTTAACTATGTGGTAGGACAAGATAGGAACTGAAATATAGTACCACATTTTTACAAGTTAGCTATTAAGCCATGTATACCATCATTAGAATCTAAGCTGGTGAAGAGTAAATAAACTTTTCTTAAATCATACACATTTTAATTTAATTTATGTTATAAGCCTGAACTATTATGTTCAACATTCACTAAACTCATGGTCAATGTATTTTTATTTATTGCAGTTGAACATAAGGCAAAGAAGACAAAGAAATGTGAAATCAACAGCCACAGATATAACCTGGTGTTTTCTAGGACTCAAACATTTCATCAGGAGTTGAGTGTAATGAGGGCTGAGCTGAAACTGTGTAAGGATATCATTACTGCATTAAAATCCACAGGAACCAATTCAACAGCACCGACTATGGTTCACATCTATAAAGTAGTAGAGTCCAGGAGACATCGTGGAAAGCAGGAACATATGTTGCTTGACTCTAAACCTCTAGAGAAAGAAGCATTGACTCTAAACGTGGAATCTGCTGTTCAGCAGTGGCTGGCTAGCTCTGAGAAATGTCTACGACTGCAGTTAGTCATTCCATTGGCTATTCCTTTTGATAATGATCATACTCAAGAAAAAAAAGGTGATGATGCCCTAGTTTTAGAAGTAGAGACTGAAGAGAACTCCAAAATAAGGAAAGCTAGGTCACTGTCCACAGATGAAGAAGAATGCAAGAAGAGTGAGAAAAAATGTTGTCGCAAATCATTAACAGTATCTTTTGAACAGATTGGTTGGAATGATTGGGTACTTTTCCCAAAAACCTATACAATGCATTTTTGCGATGGTTCTTGTCCACACAACTATAAACCAGCCAGTATGCATGCTCAGATTAAATATAGGATGCATCACATATCTAACGGAAATACTCCAGCACCATGTTGTGTTCCGGCAAGCTATGAGCCTATGGTGCTCATGCATTATAATACAGAGGGCAGTTTGACATTTACTCCATTTGAAGACATGATTGTTAAGAAGTGTCACTGTGCTTAAAAATATTTGGACATTAAGATTTTGGAAGATTTGTTGACCATGGAATATAGGAGTTGTTGAGACTGTATCCCCGGTTTCCCAGGAAGCCACTTAGTGAACTGAATATACCATTCCTCTCATTATTAAACCAGCTCAAATATGCCCAGGTTAATCAAGAATAATGACCAATGTGTAAGTTGTTACATCCAATTTACATAAAAACATCTAATGACTTTTGATGGTTCTCATAAGTGGTCACAAAATATAGTCAATAAGTATGGTTGGAGTCAAAATATAGGGAATATTTATAGAGGCTAATTGTGATGAAAAGATTTAAAAGATGGTTACCATGGAAACCAATAGAAAGTTTGTGCAGACTTAAAACCTTTAAGAACTTTAGCCAGAATTGCTCTTTATAATTAACTCCTATTCTGTCTCTAAAGTATTTGGTGTTTGTCACTGTTTGTGACCATAGTTTAAATAAATAGACTGCTAATGTACAAGAAAACCATGGGAGACAATCCTAAAAAGTTATGATAGCGTTATAAATAATTATCTATGATAATGTTTTAAATAATTATCCATCTATTATAAGGTATCCTTTCATGACTAAAAAAATGAGCAGTTGTCACTTTAAAGAAAACAAGATTTAATTTGTAGATTATGCTAACCACATTGTCAACATATGTATAAATGAAAAATGTTTCAAATATGCATTATTTTGACCTTCATGGACTATACAGTTATGCCGTTGGCATATAACAGGCATAGCATAATATTTTACAAACTTGGATGAATATACATACTTGAATGTGAACTTGCCACACAGTATGGCAAAAATATTTGCAACACACACACACACACACACACATCAATATACATGTGTGTATATATATATATATATATATATATATAGTGCATTGTGTTTTTTTACTTTTTTCATTGGACACAGTTCAAATATTTATTTTTATTAATCTGACTACTTAACGGGATAGGTGCTGTGATTTAGTTTTGCACAGCTTTTATAATATTGAGCACATTAAATGTTATTAGTAAATCAGATTTACACCAATTAGACCCAACATGATGCTTGTCATGTGATTTATTTATTTTATTCAATAACCGATGCATTTTTTAGGGTATTTTTTCTTTAATTTTTGAACCAGCCTAAATCATATCTTTTATGAGTTTCAGAAATGGATTTGAAAGTTTATTTAAATGTTTATCATTTACAGTAGATAAACACATTTGTATTTATATGTGTAAAATAGCATTTGAGATTAATATTTGAAATACCTATTACATTGAAAGTAACATTGTATTGTTCACACATGGTGCACAGACATAGTATTTATGGCTAATTATTTAGTACGTTGTTACAGAATTATTAGTCCTAATGAGACAGGGGTGTCAGAATTATTAGTCCTAATGAGATGGGGATATATCTATGCACACAACTTTTTAAAAGCCAAAATGTATGGTCCTTCTTTATGATAAACAGGCTGGAATGCAGCTCCTTTGGCCGCTAAAATGTTTTTCTCGTACGTGAAACACTGTATTACTGTTTTCTGTATTTTTATTGCACTATTACTATACTAACAGATATCTATATATTGGATGAGCTTTAAAGCTTTGGGATATTTTTACTGATTCTAGCTAGATCTTTTTACACCTTGATCAAGCTTTCCTTATGTAGATATACTAATAGTATGGGTTAAGTTTAACAAGTTAGGTGTCTGTTATTTTGTTTTTTATATTTGAATTTTTTTATAAAGATGTAAGTACTTTTTCAGAACTTCTGTCTAGAAATTAACTTTGGACGTAATCTAAACAACTTCCTTTCTCCTTCTTAAGAAAAAGGAAGTATTTTGTATCCTGCAAAACAAATTGTCTGTTATATTTCAACTGAAATGTCCTGTTGACTTCAAAAAGTCACTTCAGTGGCTCTGACCAGAATCTGGCCCACAATATTTATAGTTACAAAAAAAGTATTTAAGAATTTACATTATTTTATTTTCAGTGCAATGGTGTATATATTTATGCAGTTTTATTTATTGATAATTTATTGGTTTGTTTGTATTTCTAATGAGTGCAGTTTGTATTTTTAAAATAAAATATATTTGAATATATTTTTCATATATTTAAGAAGAGAAAATGTGTTGAACTTTATTGCTATAATATGTATTTCTATTAAAATATTTTTAGACTTAAAATATTAGTTATTTTTATTTTATATTAGAACACAATGTATGAAACAATATACTAGATATCTGATTGCATGATAAAAATAATTAAATAATTATGGTTTATAGGGGATAATTATAAGGATGTTTTCTATGGAGTAAATAGATCGGATTTGAATATGTATAAAATGCATTACTCAAAGTAAAAAAATAAATTAAAGTCGGGTTTCAGCACAGAGACAAACAAAACAATTGGTTGTTGATACATGATAGTACTTTTGTTAAAAAAAATCGTCAAGCCAAGATTATTAATAGGAAAGCTCATGCATATGATATGAATATAGATACTTGAATTGCACATAACCTATAATTGCTATCATATGGTTTCTGTAATGGACAGATTTGGGAGATGTTAACCGTAAGGAATGCAGGTGTGCTATGCTGTACTGCAAGAGGTAGGATTAAATGCCACAAGGCGCCATAGCACGCTGTGGCATTTTAGCCATCCCCTGGCCCGCCTCCCAACCTATGCTGCCGATCATCATATGGGGTCTGCCAGGCAACCCAGGCAGTATCACTGTAGCCAATGAAGGCGATCTGCAGCACGTGATCATGGTGACAGCCTGTCGCCACGATCACTGTTACAATGTCTCAGCCAATGATTTGTAATATTGGCTGAGACATTGTCTCTGCCGCTCTCTTCTACTCACTTTTATTTGAGGCTTTCAGGGCTGGTCACAGCATTAAGGTGGCACTGTCATACCGAACTTACCTTTCCCCAATCGCTTCCACTTCTCTCCCTCTCTCAGGATCTGTTCTTCTTTTCTTCCTGTCTGCTCTAGTTTTCTTTAAAACTACAGTCAAAGTAGGGACTATTTTGTTTTATGGAGGTTTCCTATGTTTGACCAGCTTTGACCCACTTCTTGCGGTCAAAGGAAATTTCCCACAGTTCTCACCTGATCTTGCAATGCCTCCTTTCACTATTCCCCAGCATCCTGTCACATAGATAGGACGCCAGCGAAACTACCGAATTCCGTCCTAGCAGAATGAACAGTTTTTTCCTTTGTTTTAGAATGGCAATTGGTAATTTCTGTTAGGATTGGAATTTAATTAGAATTAATGAAATTGCGATCCTATTTGTGCCACGGTATTAGGGAGCTCTCTACTACAAGTGCCTTTTATTGTAGTCCCTTTAATAACAAATGTTTTCATTATAGTAAACTATATATAAAACAATATATATCACGGATGGCCAAAAGATGGATCCTTAGATGTTGATTTGCCAACCTCCAACTAAAAAAATCATTATCGGTGTGTACTTCTACAACTACATGTATAGTCCAACAGTGGAGGATCTCCATTCGTCATATATCATATTTCATATCTAGTTCATTGTGTACTGTTATTTAAATGGATGGAAAAAAAATCCCTTGTATACTTCCTTATAGTATGCAGATATTTTCAGCAGCATGTGCAATTACAAGTCACTATACCTATGGTCATTAACCCCATGATCCATCACAAGATTTGTTACAGCCCATTAAGATATTCACAACTGTTTGTTTAACTTAATTGTTGCCACTACAGTTGCAAATTAAGCCTATAAATATTGGAAACATTCCAAGTCGGACTTGTTATACAATGAGTTTGTTCGTGAAAGTATTTCTAGATTTACTGTGTGATGGCTCATAAAAAATTAAAAGTTCTATGGCAGAACAAAATGTAGGAAGAAAATGTTATATACATGTGGACAGATCCATTAAGTTAAGACAAGTGTAAACGTTGCAGAATTGGTGAACCTTGCTCTAGGTTTGATGATCGTGTAGGCGTAGACGTGAATGTCTGTGACTGGAAGATGATCATGGTTATTGAGAAGTATATGTTCATGTGAAATATTGAGCAATGGAGTGAATGTAAATTAAAAGAGATCAAACTATAATTCTAACCTGAAGTATTCAGGTAATAATAATTTATTGCACGAGTGACAGTACTGCACCAAGCGTACAACTGTATCCTTTTAAATCTGTTCATAAAAATGTTAACCACATGTGATGACATGCAAACATTGACTTGAATGCATACCTGCTGCCAGTCCTATCAGCTTTTTTGATTATCTCCTTAATATTAGCAGCTTCCTTCCTTGCTAAGAAAAGTTGAAAACCACATGGGTTGAAGGGAAATTCTACAGCAATCTAAAGAGCTGCCACCAACATGCATATTCAGGGTGGGCCAAACTTCAGAGTAGGATTTGTGGTCAATAGCTTTTTTATTAATCAATTTCAATGATATTAAATACAATGAATGCTTAATCTTTGTTGGACTAGGGACGGAAGATGACATCTTTTAAATAAGGTCCATTTGCCGCCTCGCAGAGTTGCGCTCGCTTTATTGCATTGTTCTTAACAGTAGTTAATTTTGAGGCTCCAGCGATCTAATTTTTGCACAGATGAGCAGCTCAAGTGTAAGTGGTATGTTTCCTTAAAACGTTGCATTAGGTCTCGAATCATAGTCACTGGGAATCCATTTCTTGCATTGAACTGGTGGCGATAAGGTCTTTGCGTCAAAATAATGGAACTTTTTGAAACCATTTTGAAAATAAAATTCCACTTTTTAGTCATTCGTTCGTGAAATTTTTCAGCCATATAACTACTAACAAATAGTTTTTATTCACCTGTCAAATCCTACACTGAATTTTAGTTCACCCTGTATAATGATATCACGAGATCAACTCCTTGGGTTACTACTCTTGAGTAAATTGTGAAATACTGGTAGTAAAAGAGAAATTATTTACATGGGGTTGTACTCTTTTGCGGTAAGCAGAGTCAGCTGTTGTCTCCTTACCTCAGTTGAAACTTCAGCTTTGAAGTGGCTCTGCTACCTTTAGGGGTCTTTCTATATTTTGAAAAGACCTCAGATGCTTTGCTTTCAGTGCGGTGGCTGGGGGATGCCCGGGAGGTACTTTTTATTTACTGAAACTGCCCCTTGCAGCTATGGCATCTTCCATGAGGTCGTCTTCAGCATACACAAGCGTACAACACTGATGTCTATGGAGGATCCCATGATCTCCGTAAACAAAGCGTTTTTTTCCCCCTCAGCTATCACTAGTGATGACTGAGTGCTGGACAAAGCTGGACAACGATAGCTCTGCCTTTGTGTAAGAAAAATACATAAAGCAAAGTAGTATAATTCATCTATTGATATCTCAGGAGCATGATCAGCCGCCCCAAAATAACAGGCAACTACGTAGATAGGTAAAATCTTTAAATACCTTTATTTAGCTTGGTTCATGCAGACATAAAAATGTGTCTTCTTCCGTTGTTGCTTGTATTGCTTTGATCTGGGAACATGTGGTGGAGGTATATGGATACGGCTATGATTCGTACGCTGGCTCCAGGTACCACTGCTTCATCAGCAGGAAGTTAGGTAAGTCCCCCCGCTATAATGTTTTGCCTAAAACAGATTGCACATGTGGTCAAATGTCAGGAGTATTGGTTCCATGAACGTGGGTGTTGTTCTCATGGTAGCAGGTCTTGGTGAAATGGGCCTTGACTCTTCGACCTGCAGGAAAATGGCAGAACTTGGTGAGGTGGATGTGCCACAACCACAGCGGTAACCATGATAACCCACACCAGTCCAAAGGAGGGTGAACAAGGCTCAGAACTTGCCAGTTTTAGATCAAGAACTGGGATCGGCCGCCTCCCCATCCTCAGGTGCTACTGCAGAGCTGGATCTGCCAGTCACATGCAGAAAAAGGGTTAAAAGATTGGCAAAGTATTTCTCAGGGTTTAGACAAGATTGTTGTCCAGAAAAAAAGAACTATAAAGTCCAATTAAGGTTCAGTGTGAGAGTTTCCCTGATAAGCTCCAATACTCTGCGACTGTCTTGGCTGTCAGGCCCCACCCCCTCTATTTACTCTTGAATCTCTTTTGTGGTGTTTCCTAAAGTTCCCTGTACTTTATGCTGCCCTTCCACCTGTCATCCCCACTGTTCTACCTCTGCATTTGTTTGCTTTGTTTTGCCATTAGGCTTCTGCAGTTTACTCCATGTAGTTACTTGCTTTAGTTTGCCATTAGGTGTCTGTATATTACTCTCTGTATTTTCCCCTGTATTTGCTAGAGTTGCCATCTGACTGGTATCTCTCTCTCTACGGTCCCTGAGACAGGCAGAGAGAAGAGATACTCAGGCAGAGTATGGAGAGATACTGCGAGAGTATTGCAGATGTCGGAGAGCCTTTCATATCAAGGTTTAGCTCCACCCCCTCCCTGCTGCTTCCTCTCCTCACACTCCATGCACAATGAGGAGTGCTCTGGACTGCTTCCTGAGTGTGCTCTGCCTCTTGCCTAAATTTCAGCACTACTGAATTTCAGCAAGTGGTTAATCAGAGAATAAAACATGGTGGCGGGAACCGCTGTAATTCCACCACTGGTCTGCATGTCACTGTATGACTGTATGTTTGTGTAGGACAGTGTCTTTATCACTGTGTCTGTATGTCACTGGATGGCTGAGTCTGTGTATTTAATATTTTAGCGATTTAGGGAACTTTCTTCTTC